TAATTTAAATATAAATAAATTATTAAATAAATGTAGTTTGCTTATGGCTAAAAATATGAATTTATAATCATGTGTTAATGAAAATAAAAAGCACATAGGTAATTTATGCTTACATGAGTTACTATTATTTACCTCAAAAAAAATTTTATTTTTATTTTTTTTGACAAACTTATTATATTTCACTATTTACCTCAAATTTTATTCCCCGCCCTATTTAATATCCCGTATATTTACCTCAAAATTTATTCTACCAACCCCGTTTAATTTCTCTTAGACCCCATATTTAATTCCCCATATTTAATCACCCTTTGACCCCCATTTAATCACTCGTAAACTTCACATTTAACCCATCATTTAATACCTTTATTTAATCACCCATGCCCCATTTAATGACGGAAAAGGTTTATATAAGGTTGCAATCTTATATGTAGAACTACATAAATTACATATGCACCTCAAAAATCTATCAGAAAAGGTAGTTTTAATGTTGAAAAACCCTTTTATCGAAATGTATGACCATGAAAAATAAAAAGATTTTAAGTCTAAAAAATAATGCATTTTACAACATACTATCTACATTGTCCATTTTCAAGATTTTCATATGTTTATAGATCTACTTCATTTTAATCATTTTTGAAATTTTAAATTTTATAATTAGATATATAAATAGATTTTGAGATAATCCTAAGAACATTTTACATCAAAATTATATACCATGATAAAATTTTAAGGTGCACCTTACCGCAACAGCTACGGGATGCATTTGTATGTTGACTTAATCATTACCCCATCAATAAGTATCATCTTTTTAGTATTAAAAACTAAGGCTGTTGCCCCTCAATTTACAATATTTCAAAAAATAAAAAAAATTCATAAGAGCCTGTTTGGGTATATGGATTTTAAAGCATGGATTCCTAATATCTTGGATTTTGCCAAAATCCAGTGTTTTGATTGCTACAATCATTGGCTAACATAGGGAGCATTTGGTAGATATGCAAATTTTAGAGAAAAAAAATACCTAAATCTTTTAAAGAGATAAACTATTTGAAATTTTTTGGAGAGAGAAACTATCTCAAATTTTAACTTTTAGATAGAGAAAGTAAGTTAAAATATTAGAGTTGAACTATTGAAAAATTTTAGAGATAAACTATCTAAAATTTTAACTTTTAGAGAGAGAAAATATGTTAAAATTCTAGAGAGAGAAAGTATGTTAAAATTTTAGAGAGATGAACTATTTCAAAATTTTTAGAGAAATTAACTATCTCAAAATTTTAGAGAGAGAAAATATCTTAAATTTTAACTTTTAGAAAGAGAAACTATGTTAATATTTTGGAGAGAGAAAGTACCAAAACTTTTAGAAAGATAAACTATCACAAAATTTTAGAGAGAAAATATCTCAAATTTTAAGTTTTAGAGAGAAACTATGGGAGAAACAATTTCAAAACTTTTAGAGAGAGAAATAATCTCATATTTTTAGAGAGAGAAACTATATCAACTCTTAAGTTTTAGATAGATAAAGTATTCTTAACATTGTAGAGAGAGAGTATTTTTAAACTTGTAGAGAGAAATTATTATAAATTCTAGAAAGAGAAACTACCAAAAAAATTCGAGAGAGAAATATCTCATTTTTTAGAGAGAGAAACTATATCAAATTTGGAATTTAAGAGAGAAAAATTTTATTAAAATTTTAAACATACAAATTATATCAAATTTTAGAGAGAGAAACTACCTAAAAATATTTAGAGATAGAAACTATCTCAAAATTTTTGGAGAGAGAAACTATTGTAAAATTTATGTTTTAGAGAGAAAGTATTTTAAAATTTTAGAAAGATAAACTATATCAATTTTTAGATAGAGACAGCACATGAAATTTTTAGAAAGAAACTATCTCAAAAAAAATTAAAGAGAAACTATTTCAAAATTTAAGTTTTAGAGAGAGAAAGTATATCAAATTTTAGAGAGACACTATCAAATTTTAAAGAGATAAACTATTTCAAGATTTTAAAGAGGTGAACTATCTCAAGTTTTAAGTTTTAGAGAAAGAGTATCTTAAAATTTTATAAAGAGAAACTATATTTAATTTTAGAGGAGAGTAAGCCACGTAAAAATTTTAGAGAGGGAAATTATCTCAAAATATTTTGATAAACAGTTTCAAATTTAAAAATTTTGGATAGAAAGTATATTAAATTTTAGAGAGAGAAACCATATCAAAAATTTTAGATAGAAAGTATATTAAATTTTAGAGAGAGAAACCATACAAATTTTAGTGAGAGAAGTTATCTCAAAAAAAAAATTAGATACATTATCCCAAATTTTGAGTTTTAGATAGAGAAAACATATAAAAAATTTAGATTGAGAAATTGTATCAAGTATTGTTCCCAAACAATGGACATGGAAGTGATTGCAAGGAATCCATTGATTTTGTATAGTTTATCCAAGCAAGAGATTTGGGGAATCCATGATAAAAATCATTGATATTGAAAATCTATAGGTTTTTTTAGGATTTCAAGTATCTTATATTCCTAATTTCCTCCTATCCAAACGAGCCCTAATTGTTTCTGATTAAAATTTGGTTGGTACATAATTGATTTTGGACTGATAGATTAAAATTTGGTTGGTTCATAATTGATTTTGGACTGACCGGCTGATTGAGATCTGACCGGTTCTTTATATATGATAGGAACCGGATCGCCATCGTTAATTCTCGATTTAAATTACCAAAATTTCAAATTTTGGCATACAATGAAAACATTTTTATTTATTATAAAAATATCACAACTACTCTTATCCATTTGATGTCAAATTGCATGACTTGTACTAATCATATAAAAAGTTTGTAAAAAAATATCGAACTCATTTACAGATGAAATTAATAAATAAAACTACTCAATTTATTTGTTGCATTTAAACCGTCAAAAACTAAGTTCATTAATGGCGGGCGCCACGCGCCACCCAGATCGCAGCTGATGTGTCACGTGGTTTGAAAATTGATAATGTAGTGACACAAAACGAAGTCCGAGGAAGGAATCAAAGAATAAAGACAATAAAGAGAGACTGAGGGGGGTTGCAATGTAGGGCTGGCGTCGGGCCCGGGCCGGGCTATTCGAATCCTTTTTTGAAAAATACTTTCGACTACCGAAATCTCTATGATAGCTTTAAAATCAATTTCTAACACTGAAAATAAAATTCAAATTTAAAAAATGGTATAGATCTTTTATATATATAAACACTTATTTTTAAGTTTAGAGTTGGCATACGGACACATCCGTTGCTATAGACATAAGGTGCACGTTCAAATTTTATCATGGTATATAATTTTGATGTAAAATGTCTTTAGGATTATCTCAAAATCTATTTTTATATCTAATTATAAAATTTTAAATTTCAAAAATAGTTAAAATGAAGTAGATCTATATAAATATGAAAATCTTGAAAATAGACGGTGTAGACAATATGTTGTAAAATACATTATTTTTTAGACTTAAAATATTTTTATTTTTCATGGCCATACATCTCGATGTCGAAATGATCAATCAAAGGGTTTTTCAACATTAAAACTATTTTTTCAATAGATTTTTAAGGTGCATCCGTAGCTGTAAAGGTAAGATTGCAGCCTTATATAAACGTTTTCCTCCTATTTTTAAAGCCAAATAGTATTATAATATATTTTTAAAAAAAGACAAATACGAAACTTCTTTTCGAAACGGTCAGGCCGTAGTAATGCAAGAGCTATCTGATGCTTTGTACATAAGAGTTTGTTGCGGAGGAAAAATCAAGCAATTTAAATTTTAATCACTCGGTTAAATCAGTACTGACCACTGGTCAGTTAGTTTTAGTTTCGACCAGTTTTGGTAAACCGATTTGGTATTTTAAAACAATATTATATAAATATTAAATAAGGGATTTTATTTGTAATATATTTTATTTTTAATCATTTTGATAAAGATTGAAAATTGTTTTGACCATTAATATTTATTTTTACGTTTTTTCTATCTTTTTAAAAAAATTACAAAAATACCTTTGAACATAAATATATTCTTTAAAATCAATTTTTTTTATTAATTTTCAATTTCATTTGGATGTGTTTAATCATGTTTTAAATATATTTTTCATATTCTATTAGACTTTTTTAACACTTTTTTTACCACTTGAGACTTGTCTGGTTAGTGGTTTACTGATTAGAAGCAGTTATCCAGCCCCATGTCCGATTAACTGATGCGGTTCGATTTTTCTTAAGATGTTAATTCCAAGACAGTGAAACACGGATATTTAGAGAGAGGTTTTAGAAAGGAAAAAGTTTTTATAAGGTTGCAACTTTAAAATATATCCATTGAAAAATATTGTTTTAAGGTTAAAAAACCCTCTAATTGATCATCTCGATATCGAGTTATATGAATATATAAAAAAAAAATTTGAGTTTTAAAAATGGTGCATCTTACAACACATTATCTAGACCATCTATTTTCGAGATTGTCATATGTTTATATATCTACTTGATTTTAACATTCTTGGAGTTTTAGATATTCAAATTTTATAATTAAATAATCCTAATAATTTTTTATACTAAAATTAGATAAAATTGGATATGCGCTTTAATTGAATTGTTTATGGTTACAACCTTATAGAAATCACCCCCAATACCAAGAGAATTCAAAGAGAGAGAAAAAGGGCCATTTAGAGAGAGAGTTTAAAAAGAGAAAAAAAAAACGAAATTTCTACACAAAATGGGTAGGCCCATGCAAGAGCTTTTTTTTATTTTGGTAATTAAGTGGGGAATACAGACCTTACCTCATTTTAGAAATAACCAGAGGTTTTTTAATGCGTCTGTGGAAATGGAAATCTAACCCATAGCGGGTTTTGGGTACATGGAGAGAATGTTGCGAGCCTATAAAATGAGAACCAGATAGTACCAAAACTCGATCTGAGCATTCAAAGAGAGTGAAAGAGGTGTATTTAGAGAGAGAGAGAGAGAGTGTGTATGTTTTAGGAGAGAGAAAGAGATGGGAGTGGGAGGATATGGGCCTGTTCTTTCTCAACTGGTTTTTAACTCGTCTGCTGGGGTTATGTATATACTCATCAAAGCTGCATTGGAGCATGGCATGAATCGCTATGTGTTCGTAACTTACAGACAGGCTGCGGCCACTCTCGCCATTGTCCCACTTGCTTTCTTCCTGGACAGGTATCAACTCCATGTATTCCTCTCCTCTCCATCTCCATCTCCCACTTTTCCTGTCTTTACTGCTCCTCAAGATGCTCTCTCTCTAAACGGTTGTCCTCAACATGCACTCTCTCATGCTTAAAAATCTCTCTCATTGTAAAAAAACACATGCAGGTTTAAAAAAACTGATGAGTGACCCGGATGGGCCATTTTAAAAATTATGTCATATCGGTAGATCGGCGATCCAGATAAAAGAATCAGCCAGTTTTAATTAAAAAATCGATCGGTTTTGGCATCAAAAATTCATTAAAAATCTCTAAAAATAGTATTTTTTGAGTAAAAAGTTAAGAAATGTACTTTAGTTATTTTACAAAAGGACTTGTAACACCACAATGTAGGTGATTCGAGGATAGAAATCTCAAACCGGTCGTGAACCGTCACAAAACATGGCTCAGACAATCGAGAAAAACTAAAAAAACAAAAAGAAATTAAAACCGGTCTGATGGCTAAAATTGACCCATTTTTTATCTTTTTTTATTTTATTTCGGTACATAAATTGCTAAAAAAAACTCCCTCTCTCCCTCTAGAACAGGTTCATGTTCCTGTGTAAACCTACTTTTGGGTTCTCGCATGCACGAGAAAAAATGGACTTCACCCTAGGACTAAACCTATTTTTGGGTTCTCGCATGCATGAAAAAAAATGGTCTTCAACCTAGGACTTAAAATGTAGTTCAAGTGCGGATACATAGAAAGTTACAGTTTAATGTTGGTAATCGTTTTGCCTAGATTTTTTTTTGGAGAGAGAAATTATGGTTTTTGTAGAGAGAGAGTTGCAGAGATACTTAGAGAGATATTTTTAGTGCAGAGAGGTTGTGATGATTACTTTCAATTATATTTCTGGACTGCTCTGACGGTGACGACCACATAAATTCTGGATCTCAAATTATATTTTTTGGTCCAAATCCAAGTACGGTGACTTCAGGTTCAATCAGGTCAAGGTCTAGGTTTGGGTCCCATAATATATTTTTGTGTCCAGGTCCATGTCCGACCAGACAAGTTGCCATGTTGTTGAACACTCTCTCTCTCAAACTCTTCCTCTTTATACTAGCTTGCCTTACGCTTCTTTATGGAAAATATAAGCATGAAGTCTTATAATGTAGAACTACGGATGCACCTCAAAAATCTATCAAAAAAGTAGTTTTAATGTTGAAAAACCTTTTGATTGATCATCTCGACATCGAGATGTATGACTATGAACAATAAAAAGATTTTAAGTCTCAAAAATAGTGCATTTTACAACATATTATCTACACCATCCATTTTCAAGTTTTTTCATATATTTATAGATCTACTTAATTTTAATCATTTTTTAAATTTAAAATTTTATATTTAGATATAAAAATAGATTTTGAGATAGAACTAAGAACATTTTATATCAAAATTATGTACCATGATAAACTTTGAAGGTGCACCTTACCTCTACACCTACATATGCATCCATATGCCAATTGCATCGTTTCTTTATTTGTTTCTTTTGTTATTTTGAGTGGGATTTTACAGGAAAAGAATGCCTCCCCTGGACTTCAAATCTTTGTTTCACATCTTCGTGCTAGCTCTTTTAGGGTAAGGACCCTATTTCCGCTCTATATCATCATACTTGTGCAAGGAACACTTTGTTATATAGTTGTATTTGGTGAACTTGCAGGATCACACTAGAACAGATTCTGTATTTCTCAGGCATTGATTACACCACTTCAACTTATGCTGCCACCACAACGAATCTCATCCCTGCAATCGCCTTTGTCATGGCTTGTGTCCTGAGGTTAACTTCACATCTCATGCCTTATTTTGTTTCTTTTTCTCTTTGCCATTGCTCAAGAAACAAAAACCGGGCACCGATTCCAACACTCTATATTCCTGTGTAGGCTTGCCAAATCCGAGTGAGTTAGCCTAAATGGTGAAAATAAAAATAAAAAATAAAAAATAAAATTAGAAAGGTAATGCAGGGACACAGGAACAAGTCTGACTATTCCCTAGCTCAGAACCATATGGAACTAGAATTCGTCCTACCGGACTAAGGGGATTCCAGGTAGGTTCCCTGATTTTCAACTACTGACTCAAAAGCTTCTATTTCTACTTTGCTTTTTCAGATTGGAGCGTGCAAATATCAAGAGCCCTAGGGGTCAAGCAAAGGTCATTGGCACCATTATATGCGTAGGAGGTGCCATGATCATGACATTCATCAAGGGTCCTACTGTTGAATTCTTTCACTATCTCAAGACGTCAAAATCTCTTTCTGATATTTTGGGAGCAAAATCACTCATTGATACCAAAAAAAACTTAACCTTGGGCATAATTTTGCTCATAATAAGTGTTACTTCTTATTCTGCATGGATAAGTTACCAGGTACCGACCACTCTTTTAAGTGTTTCTTTGTGTGTGGCTTTAAGTGTTTTAAAAACAAGGATTTGGGAATGTCGGAGCCTAGGGACTCAGGCAAGTCTCAAGTAGGCTTGGCAAAGCCGTACTATTTTTCCAGTTTCGATTAACTCATAGGAGTCTCAGTCGGACTCACCAAGTTTTTAAACACTACGACCACTCTCTTATTCAAAGCTTTTACTACTGCAAATCTTCCTCCCTATTTTCTCTTCTCTCACGTTCTCTCTTTGTATAATTTTTTACAGGCCTGGGTTTTCAAGGATTGCCCTGCTCAGCTCTCCTTGACTGCACTCATGTTGCTCGTGAGTACGGTTCAGTGCAGTGTGGTTGCTGTTGGCTTTGAAAGATCTGCGGCAGCCTGGAGACTGGCCTGGAATTTCAGACTTCTCACATATATCTACAGTGCAAGGATCTTTTCCTCGGCTTAATCACATATGAATTCGTTTAGTTTTCTTCCTTTTTTGCCTTCATTTAGTCACCCAAACCCGATCCATTTTGCAGCCCTAGTTCTTCCGATGCTTCATGGTGCTAGCTTTTTGGGTTAAATTCCACATTTCCTGATTGTGACTTTCCATTACTTTAAAATGCAACTGTACTTCGGTAATTTCTAAGTTTTATTTGTCTTTTTTACTTCATTTCCATGTTTAGTCATCTTCTTTTTAGACTTCATTTAGTCAATATGTATGGACCCGACCGGACTCGACCAACTTGCTTGTGTTTTTGGCCACGTCTAACAAATTTGATACTGCTTGTGTTATGAATGCTTTTATACTAAAACTACCATTAAAGTGGGGATCTAATTGCGACTTTCCATTTACTTTTAAAACTATTAAAAGATGCATTGGTCATTTTCAACTTTTAATTGCCTTTATTTATATATATATATATATATATATATATATATATATATGAAAAGTTCATAATCACCCTTAGTTATCACATGTTAAATTGGATAGTTAGGAGTGTGCACTGACCATCTCTAAAGTTTGAGAGTATTTATGAGGAAATGATATTGCCTACTTGTCCAATTTTGCATACAATGTTTCAGGGGCGATTGTGACATTTTTGTACTAAAAGTAAATGATTGCCTCGACATAAAGTTTGATCGTATTTTTTTTTTTTTTTTTTTATATGAAAACTTTGATAGAAATGTTCTTAGAATTTAAACACGATCAGTGGCACATCCCATGCCGCCCAATTTCATTTGACAGCTGAAGGTGAATTCTTCTTATACCAAAGATAACAGTCATATGGTATCCAATCCTATATTTAACATACTCCTTCATTACAAGGACTTCTTTTACTTCTTCTTTGGAGTTATAATCATATGAATTTCTTACTTATACTCCTCCATTGTGCATAAATCTTTGGAGAAGAACCCCTTGACATTTCAAGAATGCAGGGTGCTTTGGAGAAGAACCCCTTCTATGTAATTGACATTTAATGAATGCAGGGTGTTTTCTGCTCGGCGATAGCATTCTTTATTCAAAGCTGGTGTATCAAGAAGAGAGGCCCCATCTTTGCAGCTGCTTTCTTCCCTTTAAGCTCGGTCATAACTGCTATTTTGGAGCCTATCTTTCTCCATGTTGATCTCCATGTCGGGAGGTAAGCATTTCACAAAGCAATTTATCGAGTGTTCATTGTTTTTCTCAATAGCAATTTTCCAATTCCTCTCATACATTCACTTTGTGAGTCTTTACGAGTCCTTTTGGAGGGTGAGTTTCATGTGTGTCACGGCAGAAATAAATTTATGTGTTCAAAGGCATCTTTCCATTTGATATTAAATGATAGTGGGGAAGGAATGGTTTGAAAAATACTGCATGCCCCAAGCCTGTGATCTTGTTCTCGATCCACTCCAAGCTGTCCCGCTAAGATCGAACTGCTACATGCCTTTAAACGCGTATAAATTATGTGTGTTGCGACATATAAAAAGTTTCCCCCTTTTGAAACCATTTGAAGGAGCTTTGTAACTGCATTTTCAGCTTAGAGGTTGAGTAAGTCTAGATTTTTGTGTTGTGCAGTGCTGTAGGAATGATTGTGATAATTGTTGGGCTTTATGCTGTTCTGTGGGGAAAAGCCAAAGATAGGAAAGGCAGCATCAATATATTGCCCCAAGATGAGTTGAGTTCTTTTTCAGTAGGGAAGGAGGGAGGGGAGAGAGAATCTTACTTTGTGTAGTTTGAAGGAGGTTCAAACCATATCAAAATGAACTTGATGATAGACTGGGTGCCAGAAAAACCTTTTGTCCCAAGAAACAATCATACTACATAATAACAAAACCCAATAAGGAGACAAGTAAGTACACATCATGGGACAAAAGGACTATTTCTCTCAGGCCCTCTCAATTGAATCGTTGTTGTAATCAAGTAATCTCACTAATGTAGCATAAAGGCTGAAAGGCCACTGTGAAAAAAAAAAATTTCCATTTTTCAAAATGCTGAAACGCAAATGAGATTTTTTCTTCTTTTTTTTTTTTTTTTTTTTTCGGGAGCAAAAACATGTATTATCAAGTAAGTCAGCACCATATTTAACCCTGCAAAAAAAGATTGAAAATGGCCTGTGCTCCAGGAAGGACCCTGTGTAAAACAAATTATCGTATTCATTAGGAAATTCACACGATTGAGTTGCTTTCCTTTATGGCATTTTCATTGGAAATGTGATTTTACATGAGACTCTTGAAAGCATCAAATTTTAGATACATCTAATCTAAACTGTGATACATCCATATTCCTCGGTAAACATTTCTCTAAAATGTTAAAGCAGATTGATTTGACACTAAAACCTCCAATGAATATCATTCTGTAAGATCAAATTAAAATGAAAACGATTTGGAGCATAAAAAATACTCCAAATCAACTCCCCCACCAGGGAGTTAATCTGACCATCAATTCCAATAACCGTGTCTAGATATTTCAAAGCTCACAAATGTTTCTTTTCAGGGGTGGCAATGGGCCCGTAGCCCAGCCCATCCCTGTCAGTCCAGCCCTAAAAGCCTAAGGCATAGACCGCAAAATGTAGCTTGAGGGCCAAGTCAGGGCCTAGCTATCACAGCCCAATGGTAGGGCGGGGCAAGGCCAAGGCCAACCTGACCAGCTTCTTTCTTTCTTTTCCTTGTATTTTTTGTTGATTTTATTTGGGCTGGCCCCAGCCATCATTGGGCCATAGGCCAGCTCTTTGGCCCCGTTAGGGCCAGGTCCATCCTAGACCAATCCTTTGGGGACTAGGGCCGGGCTGAGGCCAAGGGTGACACGGCCCAACCCTGTCCCGTTGCCGGCCCTGATCGTGTTGTCTCTAAGAAAATCATTGGTTGCTATGCAAGCAAACCCGCACGCCACAAGCCGGCACACCGGTCCAACTTAATTGGATAATAGATATTCCAAGGGATCACTAAAATCTAAACCGCCGAATTAAGTTGGATAGTTTACCATTATAAAAAGGCCAAAAACATTTTCCCCCAATCTTTGGGCAGACAGCTACAGTGGTCACCAAGGGCGTACAACCATTAGATTTCCACAACCTAGGACACAGCAGGGCAGCCATTGGATTGCCTACAGGTATATAGGGTTATTTCCACCTGGTTTGGTTTGGGGGTTATTGGGTAGCCCCATTGACCCCAAACCCATACAAATGGAAAAAGGGAAAATCAAAACCTTCCCCCAAATCTCTCTCTCTCTCTCTCTTAAAATGGAAAATCAAAACCTTCCCAAAACCTCTCTCAAAAAAAAAGAAAAAGCACCATTCTCTCTCTAAACCACTTCCTATTCTTTTAATGAATCTGACCTACAAGTCCAAATGATTTGAAGATGGGTTAAAACTGCTCCTCTGGACATGTATGTAATGTCAAGTCCGCAGCCACGGGCAGCTGGGTAAAGTGGGAGACCCACATGGGATTCACAAAAGACACAAGGGGCAAAGAAAGAACCTGTAAATCTGGTTTGATAGCGGGGACTGGATATTGTACTCCAAGTGAATATGATATGAGCTATTCAGACCATCTACCTTTTGTCATTTAGATGTAGGATTGACAATGGGCCAGACCGGCACTGGCCCACCTCTCATGCAGGACGGCCCAGGTACGAACCTGGCTCTATCAAGACCGGGTCAGGCTGGGCCAGAGCCGGGCTAATGAAATGTAAAAAGGATAAAAAAAAAGGAACTAAGGACCAGGCAGGGCCACCCAGCCCATTGCCTCCCTCATTCAGATGTCAGCGTCTGCATCATATGTTCTGCGTCGATAGTTAACGCCATCCATTGATTGGATCAATGGCAGATTATTGGTCTCAGGACCCCTAACAATCCTCGTAGCCACCATTTTATAGTTTCCATATCTATCACTTAAAAAATGACCGTCAAAGCCCAGTTTCAATTTTTTACAACTTCAAAACTGGGCGTGCTCCTTGCGAGCATGTCTACAATAATGAAAATGAATATGAACCATCCATTCTGATGATCCAGAATGCATAACAACCCCATTTCTTGGATTTTTGTTTATTTTTTGAAGTCTCTGAATTTAAGAACATCCATCTTATTCAAGTTGTAAGCTTCACAAATGGCAGCAACCTTGTTTTCACGAATCTCCTCCCCATTCTTCTTTAGAAGTCTCTGGAGCTTTTCTGAAGATCGCAGAACCTTTCAAATGACAGACAAATTTCAAACATATTGAAAACACACTTTTAATCATTACATGGGCTATACATAAAGCAATACCCAAGCCATCAATCATGTCAGAAAATTGGGGATTACGATGCCCGATCTTTATCATTCAGCATATAACACACAGATAGAGAAGACAATTATTTAGCTTCGAATGCTGGAGAAGATAGAAAGGGTCAAACAACTGGCTGACATAACAAATTCTTACAAACTAGATTATTAAAGATAACAAACAAAGAGAGAAAAACATTAATATTATAATTATAATATTATAATTATAGGATTGTATACAATGAGACCATTTATGTTTGATACAAGGAGGTCACAATTATTTACAACCATCCGATGTGAAATCTGATAGCTTGGATGTGTCACAAAGTTTGAGAAAATTTGTTTTGAAGTTTGAGCGTGGTCAATGGAATAAATACAACCATCTAATTTCACATCCAATGGTCAAGATTAATTGTGATCCCCTTGAATTAAAGATAAATGGTTTCATTGTATATTTTTTGTATAAGTATTATCAGTTCGACATTTGGTCCGTTATATAGTCAATTTAACAACTGTGACAATTACAGGTCAGCCAAACACGTCTATATCCCTTCCTCTTTGTGGTTACCAATAACGGTAATGTAAAAAACTTCAATCAGTACATGAACAAGGGTTTCATGGGGTCTTCAACATTAATTTATCCCAAATAACATTTTGTTTAAAGTATTTTTCGCAAACAATGATTTCTTTACAAAATATCTAAATATAAATGCCCAATGCTCCTAATCCATTTGTTCTTCACTACCTGGCATACCCTTAAACCAATTTCCTTTCGAAAAATGATGCATGCCCAGGCCTACCGCTAACACCCATGTCCATATCCTCATGACAGAGCAAATATTGCAATCTAGTTATGAATACCGATCATTTTCTCCTCTATGAATACTCAATCTTGTAAGCAAAATTTTTTTTGTTTGGGGAAACGTAATATTTTAGTAATTTTTCAGTGAGAACCTATGACTAGAAACTGGCATGTGTTTTGTTGGATAGATCACTTTCTCCTGCATGGAGAAAACAACCCAGTTCAGCATGCAATACTGATCACTTCTCCTTTAGGAGAATTCAATCTTGTATCACATTTTTGACAGAAACAAGATGTGTGACTCATGAGCAACTTAACTGCCATGTATAACAAGGTATAACTCATGAACAACTGCATTGTATAGCAAGAACCCTTGCATTGGTAACAGGCATGTCTTTTCCTAGACTAGTTTCTCCTTCCATATCCATGTCCATACAACTGAGGAAAACTCGCAGCTTAGTGATGATTCTGATAGATTGCACAATCCAATATACTAAAGTTGACAACTGTTACATATAAAACAAATAGTCAGAAAACCCAAAAATTATGCAATGCACAGCAGACACACCTGCTCTTGCACCATGCACCCACACAAACCTCTCTCTCTCTCCTCCTCCTCCCTTCTCTCCTCTCTCNCCTCTCTCTCCTCTCTCTCTACTCTCACTCACTCACTCTCACTCTCACTCACTC